TTCTCAACTTGTAATGGTTCTTTATGATTAAATAAATAAACGACACCAACCTGATTGTGGGATTAAAAAAAAAAAAATAGTATAGTTAAGAACTTTATTTAATATTTTTAAATAAAATTATAAATTATTATCTTATAATATTTAAACTTGATAAATAATAATAAAAAAAAAGGATTATTTTAAAATACTAATAAGTTGATTTTTAATTAATCTTAATATTAATTTAATAAAAAGTTTTTTCCTAATATAATTTTTACAAATAATAAAAATTCCTATTATTTATAATCAGTACTATATTTCTCATTTGTAATGATTTATTATAATTTAATAAACAATGATTTTAAGCTAAATGTAAATAAAAAATTTTTTTGAAAATATAATTAATTTGTTTATAAGCTAAATAATATAATTTAATTGATAAAACATGTTATTGAATTTTTTTTTGTGTATTCAACCACTCTTATTTAATCGATTTAGCTTCAGTCCGAAATACTTAACATCCCTAGAAAAGTAATAACTTTTCCAAGTATGTGATTAAAATTTTACTCAGTATATTAACTTTTTTTTAAAAAAAAAAGTCGAGTGAAATAATCAATTTGCGAAGTCAACTTTATTATTGATGTTACACGTAAAAAAAAATACAATAAAGTCAATTTCTATCGTAAATCTTTAGTCCAGAAAAAATTTTTGAAATTTCAACAACCCGTCGAAATGACTTAAAAAGGACATTGCTTTAAAAAAATAATCGAAAGGTGAAAATCAGCATACTATACATTCTAAAATTTGGGTACTTTGACACCAACCACGTCAGCTTTATTCTGTTATGAAGAATTAGAAAATGAACTAGTAAAAATAAGAGTCGAAATTACCAACCGTTTTTACTAGACGATTGATAGATCTCTTGGTATTTAGAGGTTTCCCTTTAAACGCATTATCAACAATAAATGGGAAATAAGATCAACATTGGAATAGATGTTTACGAACTCTATGGCAACAATCAAGGGTCATACCTCCGATCGATTAACATGCGAATTTTCACCAGATGCTGGACGACCAAACAAAGATTGTCGAGATTGAGAGAGTTCCATTTCATCATCAGAATCCTTTTCCACAACTATAAATTCTTGAGAGGAATCATCACTAGCGATTGAAGAAATTTCAGATTCTTCATCGGAATCAAATTCAGAACTATTTTCGATTTCCATTTGATCTTTCACGAACTCGGCAACAGTCGAGGCAGGGGAAACGGGATCTTGGAAAGGATCTTCATCAGTCTGAACTCGATTAACTTCAGAGGAGTCAATTGAATTAGGAATTGAAGATAATTGCGCCGATGCAGAATTTGACTGTTCAGATACTGATCTCTGTTCATAGGTCAAAACAGGGAAAATCATGGAAGACGAAGACATGTTGGAACTCTGTTCATCACTCTCTACGATTATTTCACACCAAACTTGATCACCAAATCCATTTCCTTGGCCATCAGTTAAACGCCAATGCCTGTAAAAAACAAAAATTTATTATGTATCTAATTTTACATAATCCGGCCACAATTTAAAATACTTACGAGACATATCTTCCAGGTTCAGAAGGGGCTTTGAAATCAACCGCAAAGCAGCTAGATTTCCCAATTTCAAGTGGGCCAACTTTGACCTCAAAATTTCCATTTTCAGAACTAATCATCTTTTCATTGACCATTGGCGGTCCCCCAATATGTTGCAAAGTGGTGCTTTCAGGCCACTAAATTTCACGACCGAAAGAAGTTAATAAAACTCCGAATAGATATGATGCTCATATAAATTACTTTACTTACGTTGAGATCTCCATTATTAAGAATTCTCCAGACTTTATGGAATTGGGTCTGTGGGTCAAGTACAGTACCATCGGGAATGTTAACATCCTCGACGAATAAGGCATTCAAGGTTGGTACAGTATTGATCTGTTGTTCCGTTTCAGAGATAGTTTCTTCCACAGTAGATTGTGATGCAATGGTATTTGTGGGAGTGAGTACTTCAGATACAGGAGAAGTTGTGGGAATTTGAACATGTGGTTTTTGACTCCTGGCAAGTGAAGACGAAGATGTATTTAACGATTCCGGAAGCTTATAAAGGTCTAGGGGAGCTCTGCTAACGACAGGACATTCACTTCATATATACAGTAGATAAAGTAAGTATACCATAGTCAAGAAACATGAACCGAATGTACTTATGCTTACGTTAAAGGTCCAATGTTGACAGATCTAGAAATAGGAATGAAGGTGTTCGGGTTGGTTTTTTTCGGAATATTTACTGGATGATTCTTCCATTTCCTTATTATCAACCTTTTGTTGAGGTGGTTGTCTATATCTGGTTCGACAAATTCTGGGCTCTGAACTAGAATAGAAATTTGGGAGTAGAGGAGTGGTGGCAGAAAGAGGTGATGGTACGGGCCTTCTGAACTTGATGAAAACGTGATCAGGATTATGCTTATTGGCGGGTGATGCCTCACAATTTCCACAGAGGTCAAAGTCGGAACAGTTTGCGCACTATTATGTCGAATATTGCGTTAATTTTAACATTTTGCGGCACAATATCGGAATATTTTTATTTCAATGCAAATACCTTGTATCTAACACCATTAATCGGCTTTCCACAACCATCGCATCTTATTCCAGGATGGAATGCGGTATCTAAAGAAACAAAAAAAATTTTTTTAGAACAATAATAAAAAAACAAACATAATAATAATAAAAAAGAAATGGTCGTACCAAGAATTTTAATTTCCGGCTCACCAGGACGGCGAATTTGCATAAATGTATGATATGGATGTTGTGTGGGTGCGAGCGCTATAAAGTTTCAAATTGTCAGGACATGATGAAATGATATGTCGATGGAGGTGCAAATTCTTACCAATACAATTCTGACATAAGTCAAAATCGGGGCAGTTAATACACTTATGGCGAATACCAACGATCACTGACTCACAATAATCGCAGGTTGCGGAATGTTGAGTAAGGGAATCTAGAAAAATTGGAAAAAGGTTAGAATGACAAATAATTCACGGTATCGATACAATGCAAGCTTTGGGAGAAACGTACTACTAAAATGATGATGATGATTTGGATTAATTGGGAAAGGAATTGGTCGGAATGGGTGACGATGAATCTGCGGTGATTTTGGTTTACACGCCTGGCAAAGATCATAGTTTGGACATGTTGCGCACTTCCATCTGGTTCCACGAATAATTGACTCACAACTATCGCAAATCACCCCATGGTGAATCACTGGCTCTATTCATAGAATAAATCGATTTGATTAAAACGGGGAAAAAGATTCGAAGTTGTTGTTATTAAATTTACCTGAATATTTATGCGAGCCAGGCACAGGAACTTTTCGGTTTTCGGTAGAAGTCACAAAACTTGGAGCTCGTGTCGTATCCCTGGAAGCATTTGTTGATCCTCCATCATTACTGGTCGTTTGTTGCGGTTGCGATTGCGATTGCGATTGTTCGGACACATTCAGATTCAAATTTGACAAATCCCTTTCTATGGCCGTGCTAAGTTGATTGACAAAGTTATGCACCATCTCTTGCACGGTCTTTATGCTAACATTGATCACTTTCTCAAAAGGAAATTCTTCTTGATTATATTGTTCATCGTTCTGAACTCTTTCGTTATTGGAGGTCTGGGCAGCTTCGGTGGACGATGATTGAGGCGCAGTATTTACCTTATCCAAACTCAACTTGATGACTGACTTCCTATTGGTACTGTGACTACTAAAGTAGTTGATAGCTTCTCTCAAATCAGAATCATTTTCAATCACAATCTGGTCTCCGTCGAGGTCGGTATAACGAATCTTAAATTCTTTGATATTAAACACATGCGACAGCTAGAAAGAAGTAATTTTTAGAAATTATATTTTAGCGGTTTCTGAAGGATAAGTGGTTGTACCCTGAGCAAAATCATTCAGGAATGTCTTGTTCATATACATATGAACATGATATATACCTTTGAATATAATACTGAATAAGAAACGTCAGCGACACTTGGAAAGGTGAGACGACGGAGAACGCTCGGCTCTTCGGAGCAGTTAACTTTGAAATTTACGGGTGCAGTTTCCATACTTTTTTTTTTTTTTCTTATTATTTGCAGTTACAGAGTTACTATGATTGTAAGATAGATATATACACAAAAAAGAAAATTGTAAAAATTGTAAAAAGCAAGCGGAGCTAGCTTAAGTTGCAACCAAAGATGAATCAAAAGAAAATAATCCCAGAAGAAAGTTCAAGAGAATTTGAGGCTTAAAACGATCATGTTTTTATATAATTGTAAATGGTCATGCGACATTGATGACGAATACTGACATTGCTTACGAATTTGCGTACGTTTGATAAATCAAACTTGAAACTCGATTGCGTAACCCATATTGACCTCTTTGATTGATGAATAAAGTCAAATATACGTTGTCTCAAGTGCCTAAATATAGAAATTGTATAATGTATTTGTGTATCTTATTATACATTAATTACGTACGTTAATTCAGTTGGTTTTTTTACAATAATTTTTTTAAAAATTAAAATTTGACAAATAACAATTATTAAAAATGTAACAAAACATATCAAATATTGTATGTCCAGTATACAGTATGTTAAAAAGGGTTTTGATTTTCGGAAAATTAAAAAAACAGTAATGATAAAGTAAATCAATTTATAAAATTGTATTTCTCAAGAGTTTTTATTATAAAGAATCAATAATTTTAAGTATATATTTAAGATAATGTTACAATTTATTTTTATTTTTATTTTTTTTTGTTTTGTGCTTTTAATATATTAATATTAATATTATTTATTTTTTTTCATACAGTATATACAATAGATATAATAGTAATATAATAACAGAAATATTAATAAATTCCTCAAGTACTTGCTCATTAAAATAGCTTATATAAGCTTGACAACTTGGCAAAGCTCAACAATTTCCGATATGGCGTGACAAGAACTTAACAATCTCAAGATGGTTTGACAAAAGCTTGTCAACTGATATTAAAAAATTATTATACGATTAATTAGAATAATATAAATACATACATTTTAATTTTAATTTGATTTTAATAGTTTAAGAAATATTTGCTTATGAAGGGAAATGTCATTTAGTAAGCGTAGGACTATATACAGTATTTCTACGCAATATGGTAAAAAATGCCCGCGTCCTCCCGCTCAAGAATTGTGTCGATGAAATCATTGGCTCCAATTGATACACAAATCTGAAATAGTAAAACTTGTTAACTCCAGACTTAACGGGTATATTAATTAATAGATTCTACTATTTAACATTTTAAATTTAATTTATTCATTTTTTGATTTCGTTTTCACAAGACATAAGACTTTAATAGTAAGAAGAATATACGAACAAAAAAATTTGACAAAGTCTAAAGATTGGATAAAATACAAGGGGCGTTGCTATTCCTCGTTCAAAACAAGCTTGACAATGATAATGTGATCGCAGTATTCTCGCGCAATACTCAATAGGGTAGCGTCGGCCTAGGCCGATGTGAAACACTTATTTCCTTACAGGACTTGTTACCCAATTCAGCCTTAATAACATGGAATTTACCAGTAATTTATGTTTACGTAGGAATGAGTGAGGAGAGCTCATGTCGCAAAAAATAAATTCATTTACTTCTAAAACATGTGCTGACCACAAACGTATTGTCGATGAAAAAAAGGAATTTGCGTAAATTTATTTATTATTTTTTTTTTGAGAATTCGCTTTATGTCTAATGATAATGATGCGTCAAGTCCGTGACCGTTTCGCATCATGCCTACTGCGACTACTGTTACGATGACGTGAACCTGAACTCGACGTTGACGAAGACGAGGGCACTGCGTTTGGCGCGGGCACGTCCCATTTGCTGGCACGTTTTTTTCCTAAATCGCAATATACACAGAAATCAGAGAGCACAGTAAAAATTTAATAACTAATTGATGATGTAACATGAAGATGACTTGTATTCCATAACGCACCGGAAGTTCCTGTGCTGGTGGTAGTCTTTGGATTAGTTGTTGTTGCATCGTTTACATTAGATGAAGGTTGTGAAGGTGCAGAAGTGGGTATAGAGGCAGTAGATGTGACACCGACACCACTAGTTGTTGAGGAGCCTTTTTCTGCTCGGGCTGCAAGACTTTGCATAACATGCCGAGCTTTGGAGATTCCTTGACTATTAGAACTTGAACCTAC